ACTTTTCTGGAGCTTCCTCTGGACCTGTGGAGGTTACGTACAGATGTGGGTGCTCCCTAACCTCCTCAAAACTTGCAGCCCAGGCTACTTGGAGACCTAGGGCCCCCCACTACTGCTCCCCACTTTGCCACAGGAACGTTCCCGCACAGATGTGGCACCACTGTACAGCCACCGCCTCCACGGGTTGCACGATCTGGTTACTCTAGGCCAAGGACACCTGTGGGTTTTTCCTCTTGCAATACTTTCAAATACCCATTAGTTCTAATAACTGCCCCTGGCATCAAAGCTCAGGGTGAGAGGTTCCCTGCAGAGCCCAGCTCCTAACGCCAACACAAGGCAGTGGGAAACTCCATGCCAACAGTCAGCACTCTTCTCCCAGAGAGATTTGCTTAATTCCCCTCTGCCGTGGCTAACAAAGCTCTTCTTCTTTTTTTTTTTTTTTTTTTTTTAAACCAGGCAGCTGAATCACAGTGGAGATCAATTTTGTTATTTCCTAGACAGTGGCAAGCTGACAGGGTAAGAGAGACAGACTGAGCAATGGCAGGCGGTTGCGGCACAAGAGCCTCAAGGCTTCCTGCCTTCCTGGCTCTTGCCAAGGCCCAGCAAGCAGGCGTACAGAGATGTCTCATACCGGCTGTGACGGGATCCTTCCTAAACAGCCATCAGCAAGGAAAGGGCACAGAGGTGTCGGTGTATCAGTGGGGTCAGGGGGAGCGGGTAGAGGCCGCAGAGCTTTAAAATAGAAGGGCAGCATCTGCAAATGGGCTCACGGGCATGGAAAGGCCCATGCTCTGTGGAGCATCTTCTATCACACCGGGCATAGGAGGGCTTAGGGATGCTGGCTGAGGTCTCTTCATATGGTTTGCAGACAGCACCAGGAGTCACAGAGCTGGAGGCTGCAGAGGTGCGGTGCTAGCAGGGGAAGCATGGCTGGGAAACACGGCTCAGGACGTGAAAAACATTCAAGGGACCTCATCAGCATTAACCACTGTGGCTGCCCTATGTGTCACAGGAAGAGGCAACGTCTCTGCTGGCAGATACAGCTTGGATGGGGACAAGGTGCTGGGGTAAAGTGTACAGGATGGACTGCCAAGGGCTGTTCTGTAGCTTCTGGGTAGCAGCAGTTTCTCACATACCGTGAGGACATTTGCAGGGATGGTGAGTCTAGCACCTAGCACCCACCTGGGAGCGGGCCGGGAACCTCCTTCCAGTCACTTACCTTTCATTTCTGTTTCTGTAAGGTGAAAGTTTCTGCCTTGAACTGCAAAGAGGCACAGCCTTTCCTAAGGGGAACAGATTTAGACAGCAGATATATTGGAGAAGGAATTGCTTACATGGGATATTGATACTACCGGCCCCCTGGGTAAGAGATGGCTCTCTTTAGGCTATATCCATCATCAGTAGCAAGAAAAATAGTTATAAATCAGGGCACTCACAGTCCTCCTGCCACAAGCTGCCTTCTCAGCTCTCCCTGTCTACTTCTCCGCCTTCACAGAATGTGCACCACTGCCTCTACAGCTGCTCAGAAACCTTGGATTCAGGGCAAAGCCCTAATTAAGATGCTTTGAATGGCTTAATGGGGAGAGACAAGCTGCTCCAAAGACTGAATGAAGAGCTGTGAGGGAACCAAATGCCAAATTTAGTGCCTAAGCCATGTGCCTGAAGTTAAGCAGCATGAAGGCTCCTCTGTGTGCCTGTGCAATGCCTGATGCAAAGATCCCATAATAGTAATGGCAATGAAAGGCAGCCCACCATCTTGCTCTGTCCTTTCTTCTCATGTGCAGGCAGCCCAAACCATCACATGGTGCTTTGACTCTTCCCCACCTGAATCAAATGTGTATTCCTTGCTAGATACAGGAGGAGGCCAGATTTGGAAGTCATCAAAAGCACCAGTAAGTTTTTATGCGTGCACGTGCACGTATGAACTGCATCAGCCTTCTGTGTGTGTGTAGAAAGCAGAATCATAGAATCCTTTAGGTTGGAAAAGACTCTTGAGATCAGAGTCCAACCATAAACCTAGTGCTGCCAAGTCCACCACTAAACCATGTTCCCAAATGCCACTTCTACATGTCCTTTAATACCTCCAGGGATGGCAACTCTACCACTTCCCTGGGCAGCCTGTTCCAATGCTTGATAACCCTTTATGTGAAGAAATGTTTCCTAATACCCAATCTAAACCTCCCCTGGCACAATTTGAGGCCATTTCCTCTTGTCCTATCTCTTGTTACTTGGGAGAAGAGACTGACCCCCACCTCGCTACAACGTCCTTTCAAGTGGTTGTAGAGACTGATAAGGTCTCCCCTCAGCCTCCTCTTCTCCAGGCCAAACAACCCCAGTTCCCTCAGCCACTCCTCATAAGACACATGCTCCAGACCCCTCACCAGCTTTGTAGCCCTTCTCTGGACACGCTCCAGCACCTCAATGTCTTTCTTGCAGTGAAGGGCCCAAAACTGAACACAGTACTCAAGCTGCGGCCTCACCAGTGTCACATACAGCGGGATGATCATTTCCCTAGTCCTCCTGGGCACACTATTTTTGATCCAAGCCAGGATGCTGTTGGCCTTCTTAGTAGGTGCATCCACATGATGTGCAGTTTTCAGTTGGTGGCTACTAGACACCAGACAGAAAAGCAACTGCCCCAAATTCCAGTGATGAGTTTCCAAACAAACCATAGGTTCAAAGTCCTCTGGAGGATTTTTCTGCATTCCCTAGTGGATTTTAAGTTAATTTTTATATCAGCTGCTTCCAGGTGGCTTCATGGTTGATTACTTCCTTTGACCGTTCTGCAATACTTCATAGCCCCAGAGCAAAGTGCTACTCTAAACATGCTTACAAGTGGGAGAAACCAGCCCCAATTTGGAAAAGTGCCTTTGCCCCATATTTAACAGGGTCCCTAAGAGCGTCCCAACCACCTCCCCGTCCCACCCGTTGTCCCAGGATGGGGATGCCGTGGGATGCGCTGCGTGGGGCACAGCCCCGGGGTTGGGGAGGTGGTGGGGAAAGAGCCACCCGAGACCCACCGGCACGAATCCACCCACCCACCCACCCCCATCCCCCGGGAGAGGGTGGCCGGAGGCTCCTGCCCGGGGCTGCGCATCCCGGGGGTCTCCCTGCCAGCATCCCGACTCTGCGGACACGCTGCGGCCCCTCAAATAAAAGGATGGTTATAAATAAAACAGAGTGTTCCCGCTCCCCCAGGGTATGGCACTTTCTGTCTCTCCGTGAGCTCCCCACGACTTCGGTGTGGCACAAGATGGATTCAGATGAAAAAACCTGCTTTTTTGGGGGTGACCGAGGGAGCGCTGTGGAGGGGCACGCTGTGGCACGCCTTTCTAATCCCCCCTCCCCAACCCTGCTCTGACCCACCTCCGGCTTGTTCAGCATCCTTCCTAACCCCCCTCCCTGGCTCTGCTCCGACCCACCTCTGGCTTGTTCAGCATCCTTCCACGTCATCCTTCCCCTCTGCTGGGACTGCAGGAGACTTTCCACACTCCCACCCCACCTGGGCTTCTCTATCTCTGGCTCCCCACTGCGGATTTGCCCCGCAGAGGTAGGGGACCCCCAGTCAATGCATTTCACTCGGGCCAGAGCTGTAAGTGCTCAGACAGCTGTAGAAGAAAAAATGAAGGAAAGTGGGTTTTGTTAGCAAAAGGTGACCAAAAAAAAAAAAAAGGTATTATCCTCTGCGTTGTTTCCATTTCAGAAGCGAAGAGGGACTGTGGTAATCTTGTTCCCCATAAGATTATTTGTTTTGGTGATTTGGCCAAGAAATTCAGCAAGCTTGGAAAACCACAGAGGTGATGGAGGAAAAAAATGTTTGACGCCAGTAAGGAGACACAGCAGTGAGGGATTTCACCATCATAAGGGATAATGGAGAGGGCAGTGCTAACATGCATCATTCAAAACCGGGTTTGGGGTTCCTCTGTCACCTGCCCTTTTAACATAGCCTTTCTCCAGAGGGCTTTTTGATGCACTGGGCATCAGGTCTCAGCATCTTGAACTTCTCCTGTGGAGGCAACAATGCACTGAAATGCCTTCACAAATATCCCCCAAAAAAGCAGGTACACTGGATTTACTGTTCTTGATTATTTCTAAGATAAAAATTAAACAGATCATATTAATTTAAACAAACCTCATTCCAGACTATGTCATCCATACAAAGACATACAGGAGGGCACAAGCCCCAGAAAAAAACAAGGCAAAAAGAAAAAAAAGAAAAACCTTCTCAGATCCTCTTTTATGATTGCTAGTGTGTCTTTCCCTTCAGCTCTGACCTGAGTCTCATCTGTGACAGTGCAACTGAACTACACAAAACGCAATGACACCTCCAGGGACATCACCTTTGGACTCCATTTTCTCATTCAGATGCCACCCCAAAAAATAAACCACCCGGAAAGGTTCCTCTGCACGCCCCACTCCAAGGTCCTCGCTTTGCCAGGGAGCAGCATACACCAGGTGAGCAGCAACCTGCAACTGCTTCTGGCATCCGGCTCTCTCCCATCTCCAACTGGGTTTGACGCTGGTGGGAGGCTCAGCATCAGCAGCACCGGGGGAAGAAGTCCTCTGTCTGTCTGTCTGCTGTGTGCAAGAAGCCACACGTGTTTCTGAGACACAGTGCTGCTCCCCCTGCCAGTGCGAATCACCCAGCTCTCGCAGGGAAAGCCCTCTGAGATGATGAAGTTTGGGCTTTTGCAGGCCACCCGGCCCCAGTCTTCCCGCTATCCGTGGGGTGCAGGCAGCTGCCCAGGGTAGCTGGGACATAACCACCACCACCTCCCTGAGTGCTGCCAACCATGTCCCAGCCAAACACGGTGTGCAGTCACCGCTGACCAGGCTGGGGCTGACACTGCGACCCGGAGCAGGGCGAGGTTTACTCCCAACCCCCCAGATACCAGAACAAGACGCATCCCTCAGAGGGATGCGTGGCTTTAGCATTGCTGAAAACACGCAGCATTTTGGGGACTGGGGGGCACTCGCCTTTAGGGCACAGGTGCTCGCAGTCACACAAAGGTGGGCTTCAGATCTTCTTTGAAATTCACCACGGGCTGGAGCCCACTGTGGTGCTCTGTCCAGTGGCCCACACCTTCACTGGTCTCTGTGTCTGTGTCCCTGCCACTGCTGCCCAGGGAGCCGCGCGGGCTCTGGAAGCAGACCTCACAGCAGGGCCGGTGGCAGCCGTGAAACATCTCCTCAGAGCTGCTACTGCCGCTGCTGCTGGAGTCAGAGTCTGGGTAATAGTAGAGTGAGCGCAGGGAGGGCTCGGCAGGTCCCCTCGGGGCACCCCGCCGCCGCCGCTGCTGCTGCTCCTGTGGGAGGCACGGGGAAGCACCCTGGGACTCTGGCCATCCTGGCCACCCCTCCCCAGGGATAGCTGGAGGGGATGGTGCTGGTGGGTGAAGGAGCCCTCCGCCAGCCATCTCCCCTTCCCTTCCCAGGGAGATATGTGACGACTCCCCATGGCCCCAGCCGGCCAGCTCCTTCACCCCACGGATGGCACGAGGGGACACATGCCCGGGGAAGCGGGTGGAGGCAGGGGACAGTGGGATCCTCCGCCGCCGCCGCGCCAGGTAGGGGCTGAGGGGCGTGCGGATGCCCGGGTAGCCCTCCTGGGCCCCCCACATTCCTCCTTGCTCGCCTTGGGGGCCCTGACTGCCACACGGGGGTCCCCCAGGCAAGGCCGGGCTGTAGGTTTTGCCATCCAGGCTCAGCTCTTGCAAGATTTCCCGCAGCTTCTCGCTGCTCACGTAGCTGACTTTGGGGGATGACTCCCAGGCCAGGCCAGCTGAGATGTCACGGTCCGGCAGCTGCTCCAGAGGCTGCTCCTGTCCCACAGGCATCCTGTGCTCCTGGGCATCTTTCGGGCCACGTTCAAGGCCGTCCCCCATGTCAAAAAGCAGTGCCCGAGAGCAAACAGGCTCTCCTGGCTGCATGCGCTGGTGGGTCTCATGTTTCCGGAGCTCCTGAGCATCACTGCAAAGAGGCGGTGGTGTACCCAGCAAGGGGGGAGGCTGCCACCCATCCCGCTCCGGATCTGGAGGGCAGCTGTCCCCTGGCACATCCCCGTGCCGCCCTGTGCTCTGGATGCAGGGAGCCACCGATGGCGCCTGGGGGTCGCAGCTGCCCTCCGCAGACATCAGCCTCATCAGCTTCTCCTTGGCGCTGCTCACTTGCTCCTGCAGGCTTGCAATCACGGCGTTTTTCTGTGTCAAACAGATACGCTTGTCACGCGCGGGGCGGGGTGGAGGGTACAAAAAAAACGCCGCTGATTTGGAAGCAGGCGCTGCCAGAGAACGAGCCACCCCCTCCCTGCGCGGAGAGGTGCTCTGAGGCAGCGCAGCAGCAGGGCTGCCAAGAGCCACACCGCCACCGCCTGTGGACCTCCTCCTCCCCTGGAGCCCCCTACATGCCAGTTAGGGACGGGGGGCACTGGGACAGGCCAGGGTGCTCCCACCCACGCAGTTTGGGTGAGGGAGCAGGAGGCTGAGGGCCTTCCCGAGATGGGGCATCTCCCCTCTAAATTAACTGTGTTTGAGCAGGCTGTGGAAACCAGGCCCTCCTGCTCTTCTCTCTCCATGTTTTTTTGAAACCCTCTGGATCATGCCTACATTTTGTCACTTTTGGGCGCAGGGTGACGTGACAAAACAAAGAGGCTCTTCTCCTCCAGAGGGAAGAGGCTGGAGGGGGAGCATCAGTGTGGACCGGCGGCATAAGGAAGGGGTTCTCGCCCTGCAAAGCCTTCAGCCCACAAAAGGGAAGGGGAGAAGCCGGCACGGCCGAGGGGGCACGGCAGAGCCCCCTACCTCGGTGAGCAGCCGCTTCATGGAGTTTTTCTCCCCTATCAGCTGGTAGAGCTGCTCCTCGCTGTACACTGAGCGGCAGCTCCTGCTTGGGCTGGTGAAATATTTTGCCATGTGGCTCACGGTTTGGCTTTCCTCTTCAAAGGCTTTCCACTGCTTGAGCTGGGGAGTAGAGGAGGGCGTTATCGGCATGGTGTGCGCAGCCCCTGCCCAGGCGGCGGGAGGCAGGCGCCGCTCCAGCGTGAAGGAGACAAAGGGATGGAGAGGGGGGGAGACAAAGGCAGGGTGTGACAGAGGAGCAGAGACGGCGGCGAGAGGCGGCCGGGCAAGGGGCTGCAGCATCGCTTGGAGCTTCCCACCCCTCTGAGCCCTACCCTGCCCCTGCCTCCAGCTTGTAATGCAGAGAGGGTTCGTGCCTGCCTGTGCTGCAACCTCCAAGCGTGCCGTAAGAGCCCCTTCCCCCGACTCCTCGACTCTGTGACAGACAAAAGACAGTGTCACGCGTGCCTCCTTATCCCCGAATCATCAGTGACAAGCTGAAAACCAGCCACGCTTAGTATCCGTTTCCTCATCTTGTGTCTGAGTGGAAGCCTTGCGCAGCCCAGCTCCAGCTGCTCATCGATCTCGGATGAGCAATAGAAGAGCAAGCCCATTAGGAAAAACAAGTTGATGAATTAAAAGATCTGAGCTAAATAAAATGTTCGAGGCCCCCAAGCTACAGCAGAAAAAATGGTACAGGCAGAGCGCAAGTACAGCTCATCAGTTCCTCCGCCCTCACTCCAAGAGACCTCACGCTTGGCAGAGCATCGCCAGCAGGCTTGGTGCTTGTCAGAGGAGGTTTGGATCCTGATCCCATGGGCTCGTCACCTAGCGAGGTGGGACTCTGCAGCTATACTGCATTGACTGAGGTAGGAAGGGACCTCTGGAGATCACCTAGTCCAACTGCCCTGCTCAAGTAGGGTTAGCTGGAGCAGGCTGCCCAGGACCATGTCGAGCTCTTGAATATCTCCAAGCATGGAGACTCCACAACCTCTCTGGGCAGCCTGCCCCCAGTGCTTTACAACTTTCACAGAACTCCCCCACCCCTTTTTTCTGATGTTTAAACAGAATTTCCTGTGTTTTAGTTTGTGCCCATTGTCCCCTGTCCTGTCAGTGGACACCACTGAGAAGAGCCTGGTTCCCCCCGCCCTCCTCCACCCCATAGGTATTTATGCACATTAGCGAGATCCCCTGAGCCCTCTCTTGCACAGATCTGCTCTTTCTTCAGCTTCACCTCTTCCTCCCTTTCTCACCTCATTTCCTTGAGCCCAAACATCCCTCCAAACATAACACCGAGTAAACAACTGCTTCCTCTCCCTGTAACAATGGGAGCATTTTTCCCACTAACGTTGTGGCCAGACACATCAGGCTGCTCCTCGAGGACACGGGAAGCAGAAGAGCCTTGACTTGCCACAAAAGGCTTCCTTAAAATATCCCCACGTCCTCCCCCTTGCCTGTGGCAAAGCCCAGCTTCCTCCTCCAAGAGTGCAGAGCTTCCTCTGGGGACCACCGGTAGATGTAAAGCCACCGAGCCTGGTGAGGACATCTGGATTGCTGGAGCACGCCTCCATCCCTGCCGTGGGCAGAAACCCTTGGTGGGAGTGGGCGTGTGGGGCACGAGTAGAGGACAACTGCGTGAAGGACCGATCCCACCACTCATGTGGAGGAGGAGGAGGAGAGCAGCAGCCACCTTGCCTCCACACGTGCCCCGTGTGACTGCCACCCACAGCACACCCTCACAGGAGGGTTTCTGAGCAGCAGCTCTGCAATGCACCTACACTCCTTGGAGACTCAGGGGACTTGCTTGGGGAAGCAGAGCCATTGGGGCTTGGAGGATGAGCTGTGCACGTGAGCCCAAACATTTGCGGAAAGCAGCAGGAAAATAAGTGCTTGGGCCCTCGTGACTGCTATTGTTAAACTCCAAAAATGTGCCTGTTTCCAGCCAGGTGGTGGGACAGAGGTGGCAGCATACCTGTGGGACAAAGATGAAGCAGTTGATCGTGGTTGTACACACAAAGATTCCTCCAGAGGTAAAACCAAACAGCAAGTTGTGCCAAGTGCGGAAGAAACGGTGAACTAAGCAGATAGTGCCAGCAGCCAGGAAAACGAGGTTGACCCCAACGATGACTGTCAAGGACTGGTTGACTGGCGGGGAGCTGACGTTGTCGGTCAGACCAGCCAAGTAGGTCCCATACAGCAGGAGGATACTCTGGAAGCAGAAAAAAGAGGTTTCCAGAGTGTGGAAAATTACAGCCTGATGGTGTCAACCCCCACCTCGTACCAAGCCCAGTGAGCTCAGATACACTTAGCACAATCCTAATTAATGCTCTTTGATCTATAATGCAGACCTTCAGCGTGCGGTGGTGACACCACAGCAAATGCCCGGCACGCTGCTGCAGGTCAGAAATGGGGCTGGGGAGGGAGGGCAGGAGCGAAGGTGCTGGCAGGCCCAGGGGGTCCCAACTGAGGGGCACGAGGAGCTGAGGGTCAGGTTGGCAGGCGATGCCATGGAGCAGGGCATGGCCAGGATGTGAAAACCTCTCCCCTTGGGCAGCCTGGAGCAGGAGCAGCAAAGACAGACAGGAGATGGAGGTCCCTGTGGGGATGCAGTGGTGGGGTGCTATCAAGGAGCAACAACATACCTCTGAAGGAGTAGGAAGGAGATTCAGAAGGAAAAAGCAAGGCAGAAGAAGTGGAGGTTTAGACTGGAGGGAAGAGGATGTTGTTGGTGCCTCTTTAAATAGAAATCCAGGAAACTACTGGGTGCAATTCTTTTCCCTTCCCTTCGCTGTTTCCTGCCTGACTCTAGCATCAGTGAAAGGGGCGAGAGACATGCTCTGTACAGAGAGGCCCTCCCTCCCCCAGCGCAGGTTTGTTGTTTCAGAGCAGCCTTCCTCACCGTGCTGCCCCTCAAGTGTCCCACACGTGCATCTTTCCAGCGTGCTCAGGAATGAACTACCCAGCAGGCCGAATCCCTTCTTCTCCAGGGCACACCGGCAGGAAACACAGAGTATTTTTTGCCCACCTGTGTAGCGCAGGGCATGGTCTGCCATTTGGAAATACCGTCTAACAAAATCCCTGCTCCTGCAAGGACCCAGAATACAGGGAATACAACTCCTACATTATTCCTGTGCTATCCAGTAAGTGCAACTGTTGGCCTTTTACTAAGACATTAAATTGACTTTTGGGCATCAAGAAGTGCTTTCTAACCTGTGGTGCCGATGTTGTGTAGACTTTTCTGGACTCCTCTGTGCTGTGGCTGCTTGATGACTGCGATGGCCACTGGTAGGGTTAGGGTCTGGAGGGGCACTCTCACAGGCAAGAGGTTCATGTCCATGGTCTTTGGTGAGACTCCCAACTTCAGGGCACCACAAATTCTCAAGGCGGGGTTGTAATAGTGAGACCTGCCTTGCTAGGAACTATGCTGACACCAGACCCTGCTTTGGACGATCTCACTGGATCATAACCACGTTTACCATGGAGCACCTCCAAATGCACAGCCCAAAGACAACTCCTAATCCCTGAGCAAGAACAGCACCAAAGTCCCATTTAAAATTCATATAGTCTATCTGGGACACAGCCAACAGCACTGCCGTCTAGTAAACTAAGGCTTTCAGTAAGCACAGGGCTACGTTTTTTTGTTTGTTTGTTTGTTTTAATCTTGATCAAAGGACTTTGCTCCTAATTCCAGGCATGTCCTTGGCAAGTCATTTCTGTTCATTTCTCCGTGCCAGTAAAACCAGGATAATACACTGAGCGGCTTCACAAAGGGCTGAGCACATTAATGCCGTGGAAGATAAGAAGTGCTACGTACACACAGAGATAGAGCCTTCTCTCACATTAGTGTAAATTCAGATTAACTCCAGAGAAACCACTAAAGAACGAACTCTGTGACCCTCAGTGGGTAGACAGGATCAGGGTCAGGTTCAACACAACACTAATGAAGAGTACCTGGGACTGGTAATGGGGATGTTTAACTCCAAAAAGCAGTTTGCAGGAGCTGCAGGCAAACTCATTACCTGTCTAAACCCAGACAAACTGCAGACAAAATCAGAGGTAGAGGCACAGCACTGAAAGCCCAGGGAACGCCTGCAATCCCTAGCACCAAAGGACTTCTGAGGACAAGCTAGACTAATGTCTTTAAAATTAAGTGTAGGGGGGAGAAGGACTTGGCTGTGTCGTGAGCTCGCTTTCTGCTCTTTCTCCTACGATTTTGGGTAGATGGTCAATGAGTATTATATTACAATGAGTCAGAAAGAAAGTGCCTGTACTGCACGCAGAGATGGAGCTTTTCCCAAAGAAAGGCTGTGATCTCACAAGCTTCATTAACATCAGCCTTCTGAAATGCGTCCAGCCTCTGCATACCCAGAGACACATGAGACCACAGATAATTACAGCGATAGTTACACCTACATAGTTACATCAGTATAACTAACTCTTCTGGAATAAGAATGGCCACGTGCAAAGCTACACCAGTGAAAGTGCACCTCAGTGGTATAATTAAGCTGATACACATCCTGTAAAGGCAGGCACCAAGCACTTGTCATCAGCACCTCCTCGATTTGGAGTCAGAGGACTCGGGGGCTGAGCCACATAGTGCATCACTGCATTGGATGACCATCAGAGGCTTTATGGAAAAAAAGTGTACTTAGAAAACAGTAAGACACAAGTTTTAAGAAGGAAGATAGACGAGGCATGGAGGGTTGCAGGGAGAGAACCAGAGAGACAGTACACACACGGTGCATGTAAAAGAGATAGTGAGGCAGGCAAAGAGTGGCTAACAGAGCTTTTACAAGTGAATGCAAGAAAACATCAAGATGGGAAGGACTGGAGACAAGAGGGCTTTCAAGATGAAGAGGAGTAGCTGGAATCTGCAACAGGTATGTAACTTGGGAGGGCAGCGAAACTACCGATGCTGCTAAACAGTTTAGGCTGTGAGACCAGGAGGAGGCAAGATACAACGCAAAAATCAATCAAGAGGTTACATACCTTAAACCCTAAAATGAGAACGAGCCAAAGCTCGGAATAAAGAGATGCGCAGGACTGCACCCGGCTCACTGAGCAGGTCATGCCTTTCTCTGTCGCCTAGGAGGCAAGGGGAAGGCACAAGTGAAGATTGCGGGCCCGGGAGCAGGCACAGACCGACGGGCAGACAGGTGTATGAATTTGAGCAGGTCTCCTCTGTAAATTCCTAAAAGGAAAGGCCAAGTCTGGTGCTGCCACAGGCAGAAGGTTAAAGCGAGGAAGATTTTGGCACTCTGCTGCCAACAGGGCTGGTTAAAACTCTCTCTAAAGCATCTGCAGATGCCACGCACCTTTCCTGTGTCACCCAGGTGACCTGCACAGACCTGGAAATTTTGCAGCACACTGTCATCTCTGTAATAGAACAGACATAAACCCAACCCAGAGCACTCAGAAAGCTTTCTGGCTTGTTTTCCTTTCTATTTTTTTTTAAACAGCACCTCCAAACACCTGACCATCCACCAACTTTGTCCACAGAGATCAGACAGGACATGGCGCAACCCTCCACCGCCCCTCATTCCTTTACCCGCAGTGAGATGCTGAGGCTTCGGAAACACTGGACTGGATCAGAGAACACCCACGTCAAGAGCAACAAGGCATCTGCCAGCACCAACGCTGCCACCATCGCCAGCAACTGGAGGTCTTTGATAATCTGCAAACACACAAGAAGTAAGCGTTACTGTTGGGGGCAAATGGACACCAATAACCTCCATCCCCTTGGGTCTCTTTCTGGTTGTTTGTTCCAAGTGACATGTCCATCCTAATACTTCCCCCAGAGTGGAGTCCAGCGGCACACCTACATCCAAGTCAGCCACAGGATCTCTGTCTCCAGCTCCCAGAGTCTTGGAGACCTCATCAGACTTGGGGCCAGGTATAAACCCTACCCAATGGTGTGCCTAGCTGGTAAATGCTATGACAGAAAACAGCTCTTCCAAAACAAGAGTATCGTCCCTTATGCCTGTATCACAAGCAGAGACAAAAAGGGGGGGGGTGGGGGGGTGGAGAAAGCTGGCAGGATTATCATTTTGCAAATTTAACACAGATCCTGGTTCCTCAGGAATGGGAGTCCTTGCTGGTACCTGGTTCCTCTACAAACCCTCTCATCTCTCACCTTTCCTCTGAGACCTACTTTTCACGCCGTTGCAAAGTAGGCACTAAAAGCTGGAAGTGCAGCATTACACACACAGATTTCTATAGCTGGCTCCCATTTTCCTCCCAGCAGCTGTATCCCCTTCCTTCAGTGCTACAGACAAGTTCCCTCCCTCCTTCAAGACGCATCTGAGGACGGCCCTACATCAGATGACCTTGAGGATACCTGTTTTTTTTCATCCTGCAGAAACAATCAGCCCAGACCTGGATGCACACACCAGTACACAGTGTAGTAAAGGCATGAGGCCAGCGTAAAATGAGAACAAGACCTCGCTTGGTGACGGGGCTGGGACTCCACTGGGGAACAGGCAGCTTGGCAGGGCACCTGCTTGCCTGTAGAGTGGAAAAGCTCCTGCCTCATTGCGCAGGAATAAACGAGGATCCCACGCCTGGCTAGGTGTGAAACTAGACCTGTGACTGTGACACCCATCCCTGTCACATGCTGGTTTTATCTCCTACCCCACACCAGTTTGGGACTTGCTGTTGTTCGACCCCTTGGAGATTCCCCCACCCCCAGGTGCTGTGTACTCACCACCCGCTTGTCCGGCACCCGCTGAGTGAACACCTTGTAGAGCCGCCAGCTTTTCCCCAGGATGGGGCCGAAGACCAGGGAGGTCCCCACGCACAGCAGGCAGAGCCGCACCTGCCGGAGGGGGCAGAGCAATGGGGCTGAAGGGGCAGCCATGGGGCTTGCAGGGGCACCCCATGCCCTTCCACCCAGGGATGTGATACAGACGGGTGGGAATGCGTCTACGGTCTTCTGGCTTCTCGGGGGTCATATTGGATACAAGAAAGCTGACTGCAGGGCAAAATAAATTAAGAGGTGTGTATTCCTCTGCAGGCATGCCTGCTGCCTGCCTCTTCCTCCTCACCCCGAGAGGCTCCCATCGGAGGAGCAGGCAGGGAGAGCCAGGCAGCTTGCGAGTGGCAGGGGCACGGAGGGGCTTGGCACCAATAAGTCACTCACTGGCATCTCCGTTAATTATGCTCAGCCTGGTGGCTGAGCAGGACAGCAGGGTGTGCTGTCTCCTTCCTCTGCAGGCATGCCTGCTGCCTGCCTCTTCCTCCTCACCCCGAGAGGCTCCCATCGGAGGAGCAGGCAGGGAGAGCCAGGCAGCTTGCGAGTGGCAGGGGCACGGAGGGGCTTGGCACCAATAAGTCACTCACTGGCATCTCCGTTAATTATGCTCAGCCTGGTGGCTGAGCAGGACAGCAGGGTGTGCTGTCTCCCACATCCCACCCCCCCACCCGCCTCTGTGACCAGTCCCCGGTCTGGCAGGGCGACTGTGCTTGGTCAGGACATGGGGGGTTCATCACACAGGTCGGCGTGCTGATGACCAAAAAACTCGCCTACAGCCTCGCAGCACCTGCGCATGCTTATACATGCCCAGGAATCATTTGTAGGCACCTGTCCCAGCAAACCCCCCCACACCCACTCACCTGAATAAGCTTTTCTACCGAGTCTGCAGATGGCAGGCTCTGCTCCTGAATCCCAAAGAGGTAAGCACTAGTGTAAGTCAAGCCGCTGCCCAGCAGGGTCACAATGTTCAGATTGGGGCTGGACATCTTCACGATCCTCCAGGAAACAAAGCAGGGAAGGTGGTGACAGTTACTGAGAGTCATAACCTGGCAGCACAGGGGCACAGTCCCCTTACAGGAACAATGATGGCCATAAGGGATGCTGAGACACTTCCTCCCCCAGACCCAAGCCCCTGCTGTTCACAGCTCCTACAAAAGCCCAGCCATTGCTCCACGGTGCATACCCCATCCCCTCCCCAGTATTGCTGGAGTGCTTCACTATACCTAAACTATTCATTTTGCCCTACCCCAACACTCCTGTGGGACAGCAAGATCCCCTTCTTCCCAAAACGGACAATACCAGGCTTGCCCCACAGCACCTCGAAAAGCAGCATCCCTGAGGCAGCTTCAGCCAGCGTCTTTATGGACAAAACTGTGGTGAGCCGTGGGTTTTAGCAGCAAAGCAAACAGGGTCACCACAGCCAGGTCTCTCTGCTACCAGTGCCCGTGCCAGCCACACAAAGCTGCTCTGGTGGTGCCAGCACAAGCCATGGCCACACGTCCCCACAGCAGTGCTGAGTCGGGGGAAGCGATGCCCCGTGGTCACGCAGGTGGAACACAGCTCAGCACCCACCTCAGCCCTCCGGGCTCAAGGCCAACACCTTCCTCCACGGTCCTCGGTTGTAAAGGGGCAGAGTAGAAAACCTCACTAATGCAGCCCGGTGTGACTGTCCCCAGCAGCAAGCTTTGGGTACAGCAGCTACAAATGCCTCCAGGAAAAGGCTGTTCCCACTCCTTCTTCTGAGGAGATACTTCCACCCTCAGCACAGCCTGGACTTCAGGAACCTGCCAGCAGTGCTTGGGTTACAGCTTCCCCTCTGTAATTTCACCGCTTCACTCATAACCCTGTAACTGTATTCAGGGAGGGGAGAATCAACCCACCGATCTCTCCCGACCTATCACCCTTCTCCAGCAAGCCCATCAAGCGAAAGCTGTAGCTCCTGCCATGCCCCCCTGTGTGGCTTCGTCCCTTCGATCTGCTGCTAAGTCATTGCATTTCTCCACCCTTGAGCTCCTTCCTGGGATTCAGCCTGGCCCTCTCCCTCCCTGCCTTCCTCACCATGCCTCGGCCCCTGGGGAAAGATATTTATCAGCTTGCCCTCTCAGCTGCATGCTGAAAAAGGTCTCCTTTGCCCTCCCAGGTTCCACAGGCAGACCAATATTTATGTGCCGCAGTGCAAGTAAATAACGCGCATCCATTACAGCCTGCTCTGAGAATATCTTCAGCGGCCTAAATAATTTGGTAATCAATTAAGGCGGCCACCGAACTCAACACCACTCTCCTTCAGTAAATCAAGTGCTTGAGACCAGGATGCGGGTCGTGCAGCTGCTGCACCGCAGCAGGCACAGGGCTCAAGGTAAACCCTCACGAGCAGGACCCTCCTGACTGCAGGGCGGTTATAAGAAGTGTTATGTTCCTTAACACAACCAGAGCGCCGAAATAGCCGCAGCTCGGGCTGCGCACAGATGCACGTCTCTGTGCAAAACAACAGCACACAAAGGCTTTGCCAGGTGAAGCTTGGGAGAGGGATGTATCTCTGGGGTCCAGTGAAGCTGAGGAGAAGGTAGCAAGGAGGCAGGTGAGACATCCAGAACTGCCGAGGAAGGCTAAGCGCTGGCTGAGACAGTCTGAGCTACGAGGAATTGCTGAGTTTTCTCCTTGATTTATGCTGCGTTCAGGGGAGCAGGACTTTTTACACCCTTTGTGCAGACTGAACAGCACCACGGAAAGCCTGCGCTTCACCACCAGCTTCTCTCACCAATGGAGATCATGCTCCCCACCAATACGGACAACCAAGATTAAAAATGGTTAGCAACATCTTCAAACTACGAGTGGCCCAACAGCAGGAAGGATATGTGCGCACTGTGGGAAGCATAATGGCTCTGCTCATGGAGCTGTGCTGCTCAAAGCGATGCTGTCAAGACTGTAGAGTGGAGAAGATGACCAGCTGTCTTTCTGCTCACTCCTGTTAATGGTTTTATTGAATAGCACCTTTGGGACGAGACCATGCACTGCTGCCTGTGCTACGCCGGAGGGCATCCATGCTCTGTCTTGTTCACAGCTCCCTGACTTGTGAAGGAAGGCAGCAGTCCAAGCAGGACTGTGATCAACACTGGGTGCGATGGAGAAAGCTGCCATATCCCTGGCATTGCCCTTGCTTGCCCCGTGCTGCTCCTTCAGGCTTTACCCTCCTGATCCTTAGCCGGCCATCAGCTCAGAGTCTTGCTCTGAAGGAGCCTGACCCCACTGCCCCAGCTGCGGGGAACTCTCACAGGCAGAAGAGGGAAGCCCTTACCTGTTTTTCCTGAAGCGAATTGTGAAGACAAGAAAGAAGAGCGCTAACAGGACTCCTCCGGTCAGGAACAACCACACAACTCCCAGGAGCGCAGCAGAGAAGGACGGGGAGCTCCTCCCACTGTGGTCAGAAGATGTCTGGAGGAGACAAAAGGGATAAGAAGGAAGAGGATGCTGCTGGCATGGTCACTCCCATGGGTGCTCCTGCTCAGCCAGAAAGGACTCTCCCAAAAGGACATCTCCCAAACCCCTCCTCGTGAACAGTCACCCTGGCACTAAACCAGGACCCACTGGTAGGGCTAAGGAGATGCGTGTAGACAAGACATGTGCTCTGCCACTTGCTGAGCGCACAAGAAGAGAGGGCAGTACAGGAACCCTCTTCTTGTGGCCAACTAGCCAAATATGTAATGAAGCCACCACAAGTGACTCATAAACCTCAGGTAGCCTTGATTGTGGGAGAGGGGAATATGGGCAACGGTTCCCCACTGTCCTTCTCTGGAAAGAAACCTCTGGAGAAAGACCTCATAGTGCCCCAGTTTGTAGCGCACTTCTTGGGAAACTTTGGTAGGGCATCATTGGTAGCCGTTCCTGCCCTTACCCCTACATGCAGCAGATAACCAACCAGCCAGCTGACGTGACTTGGGAGCCAGCAGCAGAGCTGCCAGTTGGCGCAGAAAACACAGAAAAGGGAGTGGGACAGTGTTTTTCAGACGCGCTACGCAGCGACGCACCGAGCTGGGCTCCACCCGTCTCCCAGCTGGCTGGAAACTAGCTTGGTCCTGGGTAGACATCAGCTGAGAAGTGGCTTTTGAGAGACACTCCCAAAGCGAGTATGACGGAGGCACCTCTCTCCTCGCACACAAGCAACTTTATGAAAGGTCCATTTGAAAAAATTCTCTGCTATTATCTCCTTATTAACATAGGATGGATAAAATGCTCCTGCGTGAAACAAGAAACCTATTTCAGCTGCAGCTCTAAAACACTCCAGTATTTTTAACAGGGTGTGCACGTGTGCGTTTGTTCACACATACCATGTGTGCATGTTACGGACAAATCATTTTTTTTAAAAAAAAAATTCCTTTCTTAGGTATTCCAGTTCACCTGCAACCAATTTCTACTATTTTCCCAACGGCTGCCGCTGCCCCAAACTCCCAATTCTTCCTTAAAGATCTGAGCTGTTTCTGCTTCCAGCGTTGCCGCAAATAAATCTACAGGGAGAAGTAAGGTGGTTGTTTTGAGCTGATGCCTCGTCTCCCTCTTCCCCAGCCACGCTCCATCTCCTCTGGGCAAGCAAGAACAAGGCCCACCTTGGAGAATTAAAGCCAGCACATAATTCTTAAAACAAAAATGTGTCACCGCCACGCAAGCACAGCTGATCCGCGGGCTCGGGGCAGCTCACATGCTGGTGCCATGCTGGCCGCAGGGCTGCTGGGTAAGGCAAACCCCCGTCTGGGAGAGACAGACAGACAGCCCAGAGCTGATGCTGCCAGCGCTGCCACGTTCCGCTGGGATACAGCTGTGTGCACAGCTCAGCCCCACTTTGCAGCGGTGTGGAGGGATCCCTGGGGACATAGGCATCTCCCTCCTGCAAACTGCTTCCCACCTCCTCTTGCCTCTCCCCATCCTCTGGTGGGTCTTTTCAGCTCTCTGGGAAATGAAGACCACACCAGATGATGGAGATGGTCAGCCAGGTCAGTTCCCCACCCCTTACACCAGGACTCGCTGTGCAAAACCCCCACCATTTGGCACAAGTCAGGGCCGTCTTCCCACCTGCCTGAAGCTCAGAGGGGCTGACGAGGCTGCTCAGGGCTGGTACAAGGCTGTAACGCCATCCTATTTCTGCAGCCCACCTGGTCAAGCCCGTGGGTAACGCCTGGCAAGGGGGGCAGGGTGGATTCAGCATCCCGGGGCTCCCACACTTCACTCCCAGCTGCATCCACCAGCAGTATCTTTCCACCGCTGGCTGCTGCCAACAGTGTTACTGCACTCTCTTCCCAGCAACCACCCAGAACTCAGAAACACCCCTGTGGTCTCCATCGTTCCTTTCCCACCCCCTCCCGCCCCCGCCCAACACCTGGACCGCTGTTTCCCTGGATGTTGATGCTACTTGAAGTTGATGGAGCGCTTCATTTGCCACTGAGCAGAGTAAATCCTGGCCCTAGCAGGGGGAATATTAATTGTGAGGCAGCTGCCAGAGCCAGAGGAGCCAAGCAGCTTACGGTCTTCTAATTAAAGACCTGTAGTCATGCAGAAGGTGGTGGAGAGCCGAGCGGGCCAAGCCTCGCTGGTCCCTCCAGCAGCCTCACATGGAGCCAACTGCAACTAAGTGCATCCCAGTGTCATTTCTACTGGCTTAGTGGTGGTGGAGGAGGTACCATTTATTATAGATGATGACTTTTAATTAAGTCCTGCTGTATTCATATTTGAAAAGCACTTTGAAGTTCCAGGGGATGAGAAAGGTCAAGGGCAGAAGAGGCCATCCCAGGCCGCTGGCCGACACACGGGAGGGATGCTTGACACAACTTGGCTGTCGTGGCTGCTTCCTCATCTTCTGCCTAACTGCTGGGTGTCATCTAGGCAGGGCTTGTCTTGAAGGCCATGCCAGGAGGTGACAGCACGCAGCCTTTGGCTGGACCGGCACTGCTTGGTGGCCATGCCCCTCTGCTGTCCTCTCCATCCCTCCACCCAAATCCACTCTTGTGGAGCACACCTCATGCCCCAGCGTGCTCCCCCACCTCCGTACATACCACTGTGACAGTGCAGAGCTCATGCAGCGCCCGCTGCTGCTGCTCCTGGCTGCCAAAACTGGAGCTGCCATCACAGAGCTCAGAGCAGTTGAATCCCAGCTCCATAGCACATCCTTAGCCGTCATCCAGCCGTGCCTTTGCCCCTGCCGGAAGGATGAGGGTTGGCTTCCTTCAGCGAGAAGAAGCCTTTGGCATATGCCAGATCTCCCCCGGCTGGCAGCAGGGCGTAGGGAAGGGGTCGGGCAGCCCGAGGCCAAACTTACCCGAAGCAATGCGGTGCACATCCAGAGATGGGACGGGGAGCGCCCACCTCCCGGTGTCTCCCAGGGTGTCCTCTGCAGCGAGGCGAGTCAGCACAGGGTGCGGGTCCCCATGGAGCACGGTGGCATCCCGAGCCCTGCTATGCCACCCTGCAAACCAAACCACCACATGTCAGGGTCAGAGCAGCCCCGGGCCCCTACACCCCAGCTGTGGAGCCAAAACCGGGTGCCGTGCCGCTCTGAGCCGGAGCATGGCACCCCATCACCCCGAGCTCAGTGCAGCTTTTCTCTTCCAATACGTTTTCCCACACTGGTGCAATTTCAGGGCATATCTTTGCAGGACACCCCCTCACACACCGCCCTGGCAGCCACCGCCGCTTTCCTGGCACGGCCCCTTCTTCCAGCAGAAGACAACAACAAACAGCAACAAGTGTTGCTGTCGCCTAATGGGACCTAAGCCCCCGCCTGGGCACGCAGGGGAGGAACGCACTTGAATAACATGCGTACCAAAGGGTTTCGGCTGGCTCAGCCCAAGCGGCAACCTGGCTAGCTGAGGAGCGGGCTGTTTATTAAGGAGATTTAAAAGCCTGGCACCTCTGTGCTCCCCATCCCTCGCGGCGCTCCGGCTGCCAGGCATTGTCCCTGCCTGCGCCCGCTCCCCTCGCACTACCTTTGCCTCTGTTCCCTCTTTCGTTTCTCTTTTTGGTGGGGATTTTAATAGGCCCTCATTACCATTTTAGACATGAGGTCATACTTATCCTCAAGCATCCTTACCCAATTACCATTGTCACCGATTTTAATTAGCTTCCAGCGCACGACCATAAGCAAGTCTCCCGTCGTTAGCAGCTGGGGAGGAAGCGCAATAGCTCACTCCCTATTTGCTCCTAACAACAGGTGGTAGGAAAAAAATCATCCATATCGTGCTCCTTGGGGATGCTTCCCGGACGAGCATCCCCTGCGCTCACACCCTGCGCCTAGCCGCTGCTCCATCCTTCCCTGCCACTTCTCCCAAGCCCCGCTCCTCCCAAGTCCTTTCTTTGGAAAAACACCCATCATTACGTGAGCAAAGAAAGAGTAAATTTAAAACAAAGTGTGGTCACCAGGACCTGGTGTGAAACTTGCTCTTCTTCACGGAAGAAAATCAGGATTCAAATGCCAGAAAAGCTATGGGTGTCATTCTCAGTTCATGTAAACTGATTTCCAGCTTTAGAATTTTTTCAGCTTACAAGTCCCAGCCCGAAAACTTCAGGGCCAGCAGGCCATGTGTCCAAAACAAACAGAGCCACCTCTGAAGCAACAACCCCAACTCTCCTGCTGGCAGAAGCCCTGACGGACTCTGGGTCTGGACACTGTCCTGCACGCAACAGGACTGCCCCCAGCACGAGATCAGCTCACTGCATCGTACAAGCTCAATATCACACATTACCCAGACCTATGAATTTACAAGCATGATAGAGGGTTTTTTTTTCCCAAGACCGCTGGTGCAAGCCAGCTCCATCAAACCTCCCTCTATGTATGTTGCAGCAAACCGTGGTTGTGTTTCCTCCACAGCAGGACTACTCTCTGGAGGTTTCCATGCCCTTCATCACTCAGGCTGAGAGATCGGAGTACAGGAGATACCCAGCTGCTGCAGCAAACCCCAGGTATTGCGACAACGGTAGAAGGGCAATGGATAGGAGGAGACAGGTGAACAGTTCAGGGATAACACTGGTAAATGAGATTGTGTGGAGGGGCTGCGTGTGTGACTGGAGATGGGGGGTAGGATGGGGCACTGAACCTTTGATGCTGAGAAGACCTGTAGGCATGCATTGCCCAGCCTCCCAAAGTGCTCAACTCCTCCCCAGGCCCCCAGGTGTGTTTAGGGACAAGAGGTCTCTCTACAACCCCCTGTAACCTCCTGTTGTGTCAGAGGGAGACCCTACCTGCCAGGTGGACCACTACCAAGGCTGGCAGGGCTGCTTCCTGGCCGAGCATCCCCTGTGCTCACACCCTGCGCCTGGCCGGTGCTCCATCCATCCGTGCCAGCAGGCATGGCCCTCTCATGGCTCACACATGGAGATGTTTCCACAAGGAGCATCAGTTCAGCCCTCACCCCCCCGGGAAGCCACCCCTCGGTGGAAGACAGGAGCCCCTTGGGGTCCCCCCAGCCCCCACCCCGCTATTCCGCAAACAGCTCCCGTGACACATTGATAACAAGGCGAGGCCAATTAGCACTTATTAGTATGCAACAAAGCTAGTACTAGTGTGGTTGTCATGAAAGGCAGCAGGCATTTCCAGCCTGGCTCCTGCATCTCGTGAGAGCTGGCAGGAATGGTGCTCCACGGCCTGGAGAGCATCTGAGGGGAACTGGTGCTGCAGGGGGGTCACTGCCCTTCAGGGTGAGACTGGGCGATGGTTGAGGGGACAGATAGCAACATGGGTAAGAAAATACATCCTTAAAATGCGAGGGTCTCTCAAGGGCAGAGACTTGCGGGATTTTGGGGGGGATGTTGCTTTTTCTTTTAAGGCCAAAATGCCCAACAATTCTGGTGGATCACTTCCAGAGCAGAATCACAGAATGGTTTGGGTTGGAAAGGACATTTGAAGAACATCTAGCCCAACAGTCCTGCTGTGGACAAGGACATCTTTCACTAGATCAGGTTGCTAAAGGCCCCATCCAACCTGACCTTGAACATTCCCAGGGATGGGGCATCTACTATTTCTCTGGGCAACGTGGTCCATCCAGTGCCTCACCATCCTCATGGTAAAAAATTTCTTCCTCACATCCAACCCAAATCTACCCTCTTTCAGTTTAAAACTTGCCTCTTGTCCTGTCACTACAGGCCTTTGGAAAAAGCCCTCTCTGTCTTATAAGCCCCCTTTAAGTACTGAAAGGCCACAATAAGGTCTCCCCGGAACCTTCTGTTCTCCAGGCCGAACACCCCAACTCTCCCGGCCTGTCTTCATAGGAGAGGTGCTCCAGCCCTCTGATCATCTTCATGGCCTTCCTCTGTACCCGCTCCAACAGGGCCACGTTATTCCTATGTTGGGTGCTCCAGAGCTGGCCACAGTGCTCCAGGTGGGGTCTCACGAGAGCAGAGTAGCGGGGCAGAATCACCTCCCTCGACCTGCTGGCCATGCTGCTTTGGATCCAGCCCAGGATGCGGTTGGATTTCTGGGTTGTCAGTGCACATTGCCGTCTCACATCCAATTTTTTGTATCCCCAAGATATTCTGCGCAGGGCTGCTCTCAATCCCTTCATCACCCAAGAGGAGTTAGTTCTCACTTTCTGTGTTTGTCACTCCAGAAACATTAGGCTCCCTTTTGGGTAATTATAGAAGAAAATTTAGCTCCTAGAAAGAGGAAAGGCTGAAGGCATTAACACCTCCTTGTGCTCCTGTTAGTCTGAACATCACAGAGGGAAAAGGGAAGCCAGAGAGTGATGCCAACTGTGAGTGGAATTTATTGCCATTTGATTTTCAAACAACAGACCCTGCTCTGGCAGGGGAGTTGGACTAGATGATCTCCAGAGGTCCCTTCCAATGCTGACCTTTCTGTGATTCTGTGACATGAGGGAACACCACGAGAGCAGTTTCTGACAGCCTGCACACCCCATGGGAGCAGTCACAGCATTGGGTGAAGTAAAGCCCTTGCTCAGCCTGCTGGCTCTGCTTGCCTTGCTCTCCTCCTCTTGCTGCCCTTGGTCTCTGTGGTATTACACCCATTACATGGTTGGGTCATAGTGGCTAGTATTTGGCCGTGGCTGAACATCAGCGTGCACCTGGACGTGATCCAACACGCCTGAAGTTGATAGGAAACAAGTGACTGGACCACATGAGAAATACTAGCACCGTCATCTTCTAACGTAAAAAGGAAGCACTGACTGTTAAAACAATATTTGGATAAAAGCAATTTGCAGTCATCTCAATGGTTGATCTTCAGGGCTAGAAAACCTGTTTCTTTAGATACTTCAAGACCCAGGATTACCTGTCTACCAATGCTGAGCAACTGGAGACTAATGCATAAATACCCCACAAAAAAGATGCAGTTGATGACGTCTAAATGCACATCTGGACTTTCTCAAAGTTTCTTCTTCCCTTCAAAACCTTTCTTTTGAAACAGCAGAGGAAAAAAAAGCTTAAAGAAGCCGAAAAACTGATGCAGCGTGTACGGGCCCAGAGCAGGCAGAACAAACATTTCACCCCAACCGGTTCCTTTTGATCTAGCGTTGAAAGAGAGACTTCTTCCCAAAGAATAAGGTGATGTCACAGCTCGGTGAATCAAAAGGCAGAAAGCCGAAAACATCAAATCACAGACAACAGAACAATTGCATTCAGAAATGTGCCAGTTTTCATGAGCCCTGCAATCCTGCCTGGTCACATCAGCCCCAACAGTGAAATGGCACATGCACACCTCTGTGAGGGAAGAGCAGAGCACATCTGGAAAAGCACATCTGTTGGGAAGAACCTCTTGGGAAGGTGGCTGTGTGGCCAGCTGCAACCTGTGGCTTTGCCGTATGCCAGAGAAACAGAGAAGAGCAACCAGGGTGCAAGGAGCAATGTGTGGAGAGCAGAGCTGCTTCTGCTCCTCCCTTGGGGGGAGCAGGAGGACCTTGGCTCACCCATGGCAGGTCTGTGCTGCTATTACCGCTGCTGATCGGAGATGGATGTCTGCTGGTGGGGACCAGCCCCAGCTCGACAGGACATCGAGCCGCACACTTCAAATGACAGGTCGTCCAGATAACTGTTCGAGCAAGATGAGTGACATGAGATGGGGTTTTGCAATTCAGAAAATGCTGGTACTTCTGAGACAGGCTCCTGTTTTTCCCTTCTGCTCTTCTTGTCCAACAAGATCCCTTCTTGTTTG